TAAAACTTTACCCTTAAAGCTTTAGCCAAAAAAAAAGCAAATGACAAGCAACACAAGCTAAAATCCAAATGGTGATATGACGATAAAATATGGTATATGCCTAAAAATCATGATACTAAATTTGGTGACTATTCGGTTGATGGATGACGTGAATTTGTGAAGAAGGGTGATGATGGAACTAAAGAAGAAACTATTTGTGCTAATTGTGGGTGTTTTAGGAGTTTTCATTGAATAAATAGTTAGTCATTGTTTATTCCTATCATATATATATATATATGTATGTATGTATGTATATATGTATATATATATACATACATATATATATATATATGTGTGTGTGTAAATATACATATATATATCTGTATGTATAAATATACATACATACATATATATATATAAATATATTCATGTTGCTTTATCTAAAAGAGGAAAAACATAAATTTTCGAGGGGTTTTTCAACTTTTTAGAGTCGCCACTTAATTTTTGAGGATAATCAAGAAAACTTGATTTTTCAAAATATTAAACAGAGAAAAATCAATTGAAAACCTTTTAGGGGGTTCGGGATTCGTATTAATGTCTTAGGAAGGTTTGAACGCACCTAAGACATTCCGTTAACCTACGGTTTTCAAGAAACTAACGTAGTTGGCTAAAAAGTTAAATTTGGCTTTAAAAATAACCAAAATACATCGACAAATAAGCGATTATTTACAGTTCCCATCGTCATACGACTGATCACTTATTCCTAATTGAGATTGGCTTGCATTTAAGATACACAGGGAGGAATATATTAATATCGGACCAAAACATAAACTTATATAACAAGCTACCAGGCTATTATGTTTAACCTTACAATCTAAACAAGATATATGATAAAACAAAATATTATGTACATTATGCTTAATGTCAGTATGCTCATACTCCAGACAATCTTAATGATGAAATTTTAAATTAGTATGACTAAGACACGAGGCAAAAGAAAAAAAATTCCAAACAACTTTTAACATACAATTCTAGAAACCTTTGAGAATTGGCAGGTAAAACAAGGAAGTACGCATGTTTATATTGAATCCTTAAGCAAATATAATCACCATTTTCGACTAATGATATAAAGTCCCAACTTTATCCAAACGAGTTAACAAGCATTAAGATAATCGAAATGCTCATGAAATAGGCAAAATTAAATCGACTAGAATAAAACACGACTACGTCGGCATGAAGAGCTAAGCAAACAGTGTATGTTTTAGAGTAACTCATAGTTTTGAAAGAAAAATCATGTTATTTACTAACCAGTGATATATCTCATGTACTACTTCTTCATAACAAATATCAAAATCTGACGCTAACGAATTTAGTACATACAGAGAATTTAAACGAGGACGATTTAAGAACAAACTCATACTTAAGTCAAAATCACCCCCACATGAGCAACACTATAGACACATCGAGGAGCAGACAGACACTAAATTTATTAGGGAATTAAACTTTATACTAGAAAGTGAATACTTTATTATCAAGAAGGTCCAATTCTTTGTCATTCTTGAGAAATCGGCCTACGAGTCCAACTTAACAAAGAAGCTAAGCACTTAATAATTTAGAAAAAAAAACTTTTTCAGTGAACAACAAGACTTGAGATCTGACCCCTTGCATAAACCAACTAGAACTTGACACTCTAAGAAAGACAAAACGGTTCGCGACTCATGCGATATAGAATCAAATATAGATATATATTGGTAAGATATCTTAATAAACAGTGAACCAAATTCGATCAAAAAAGACTCACTGCATTGCTAGACTTCAATGATTCATTTATTTTTATTATTTTTTTCTTTTATTTTCCAAAAAAGAATCATTCAACTTTTATTCACTTCCATTTGTGAGAATTTTTAAATGCGGAGATTTGCTACACAAAAACTACGGTAATAAAAGCTGTCAAAAATAGGAATGCTAACAGCAAATGCGGAAAAACCATAAACAAAATCTCCATCGAACATTGAAAGCATAAATAAATTCAAATGAGACCAAATGAACAAGATGGAAAAATCATTCGCGCCACGCGATAGTCACAATAATGCTCAACTGAACCAATTAGGGGCAGAGTTAGTGATATAAAACCAAATCTAAACTCAAGGATGATGGGATAAATCTTTTCAAACATATACAACTAATAAAAGATGCACTAAAATCATTTTTTACACAAAGAAGAAGATACCATCATGTCAATATAGTCGAGTACATAGCAAAAAAGAAACGCCACGAACTAAAAATTAAAATAAAAGACGGACCGAACTGAGTCATCGAACTACACTGAAAGCGAAGCGCGCGTTACTCATTTTATAGAAGTAAGATGAATAAAATAATTTAGACGGAACACACTCAGGAAAATTTATAAGATAATCGCAAGGAAATACATGTTCAACCGACATAAACAAACTCAAAATTAAGAGAAGGTTACCTCTTGAGGGGTAGCGAAACAGAAATGACGAGCTAGAACAGACTTCAACACGACAAACTGAACACGAGCGAAAGAATGGAAGTCTGGATAGCAATTTGTTTTTTCTTGTTATGTAAGCAACAACTAAGATCAAAATCCATTGCTGGAAAGAAAAAGAGACAATATAAAGGCCATGAATTAGGGTTTTTTGCCAAAGGGAGGGAACGAAGAGGAAATTCCAAAACTTTCTGGCCCATTTGGAATTCAAATTCAAAACCTTATCCAAAAAAAATTGAATATTCCCTCGATTCCAGGCGATTCGAACGGATTTGAAGGGAGGTGGACGGTCGAGATCGACCCTTCGTCCTGGGCAAGCGACATGGCTCGATCCTACAACACCAAGGACGATTCCGCGTGTCTTGTGTGCTGTAGAGGTCGTACGGATAGAGCAAAATTGCAGGTATCAGTTGCTTCCTTCTTTCTACGCGCGATTTGGAAGAGGGAAAAGGACGAACGCGTGAAATTGGATTTCATACTTGTTAAAGCTACAGAAACTCCTGGGTTTCAATTTTCTAGGAAAGAAGAACTTGGGCGGTGGGGTCAATCGGGAGAAAAAGAATGATTTGGGGGTTTTTGAGTTGGGATGGGAAGATGTAAAAGAAGGGTTAGATATAAAATAAAAAGGGGTTGGGTAACTAGAAATAACTTAAAGTTGGGCTGGGAATGTTAAGGTTTGCACGGGCTGATGGAAAATGGAGGAAATTTTAGGCTGGAATTATTGGGCTGGGAAGGTGGGAAAAAGAAAATGGGCGGAGTGGGCTGCTAATAATAAAAGAACAAGCCCAAATTTAGTTGGTCCAAACAAACTTGAAGGATAAAAAAATATCACAATGAATTAATCGAATAAGCCTCTTAACTTCGACGACACAAAATAATCGACATAATAAAAATAGTTAGTTCAAAAATAGAGAATAAACTATTGCATAACTCGTTAGTAAAACATCCAAACAAAAAAGAAAGTTTTTAAGACGATTTTCACACATTCTTAAAAATATGCTTACATATATATGTTTTGAAAGGTATATTTGAATTTCAAAAAATATCTATTATTTTAAATCGTTTGGAATCTTAAGAAGCTCGTGAATTAATTTATCGTAGAGAGCCGAAATCGGTTGTCAACAACTGTCACTCATTTTACTAGGATTGGTCCCTGCAATTCAAGGAAAATTAAATTGACCAATCCAATTTTGACCGACCACAAATTCATCTTTTCAACAAGATTTGATATGGATTTCGGAAATTATAGTCGCACCCTAGATACGGGTTTACTACATATATCAAACTATAGGAGAACTCAGGCCACTTGTAGTTCGATATGCTTGATTTAATGAACGATTTTGAAAAAAATTCAAAAGTCATCCTAATACCGAATTATGAAGGCACCAAAATGCTTGAGAATAAGATTTAAGAGAGAATGTTGGAATACAGCCGAGTTTTAACATTGAACCCGCCTACATATCCTTAAACTACAGGAATCAGACTGTTTATAGTTCTACTCGATCGGTTGAAAAAAAATCTATTACGCTAGATAACCTTTGGTTTTAGATAAGTGAAAAATTAAACGAGTATGAAAAGGAGGCTTATAACATCTTAGCCATGAATGTGGTGCGCTCACATCCATAGGTAAGAACTTACACGGACATAATTTCCAAACTCTTGGTGCATTGTCTCTCAGATTGGAAATTTTCCTCCAGCAAATACCAAAATTTCATGATGCGTGACCGGAACTGAAAAAGCAAAAAAAACCACATGCCTTTTAATAGGGGTGTGGTTTAATTGTGGTGGATGTCGCTCCTCTGCTCGCGTCTTAAGAGTTTGACAATCCTCTTTGGACTATGGCCCAGTTCGCTACCAAGAAAAGTTCCACGTTGTAGTGCATCCCTTTTGACGTTGTTCGCATCGTGTTGACACTTAGTTGTTCTTCTTTTCATTTTTCGTTAACTCGATTGGTTTGACGTAAAGCAAATAAAGGTTATATCTTGTGTTTGCAATATAATATTCAATGTATTCTTCATTTTATCTCAACATAAAGGAAAGTTGATTCTGTGTGCTCTTATTTCTCTTGACGTCGTCTTCTATGCTCTTCTTGATGTTTACTTTTATCAAAATAAAATAATGCAACTAGACAAGAGGAATAGAAATCTTAACTGGAGATATGAACGAACCCTTGTGGCTTCTACGTATCCCGATGAGGCAGGAATCAGGTCAAACGTAGTCCCCCTCCTCAAAAGTTGACAAAGTAAGAAAAACTATAGAGAAACAGACCGAGGCTGACATAGGCCGCCTACTTATCTCATTCATGAAAATTCAGGTCGAACATAGTTCAAATACTAGAAAATATTAAAAGGGGTAAATGGGGTGACCGAAGCCTACAGAGGCCGCCTATGTATCTCATTCTCGAGAATTCAGGTCAGGCGTAGTTTATTACAGGAAGGATAAGAATTAAAGCAAAACGAATACAATAAAACATAATGATTACAAGTGAATAAAAGAAATATAAACCGCAGCTTCACACGCAGTATCTCTTGACGGCATCTAAATTGATCGGTTTCGGCCATACGGTTACATCCATCTTCGACAGGACCAAAGCACCTCCAGATAATACTTTACGAACCATGTAAGGACCTTGCCAGTTTGGTGCAAATTTTCCTTTGTATTCATGTTGATGAGGAAAAACGCGCTTAAGGACCAATTGACCAACTTCGAAAACTCTAGCTCTTACTATCTTGTGCAAGGCACGAACCATTCTCTGCCTATACAACTGACCATGACAGAAGAAAACCATTCTCTTCTCATCAATCAAAGTTAATTGATCAATCCGCTTGCTCACCCATTCAGCATTACTCCACTTATCTTCCTGGATGATTTTCAATGATGGTATCTCCACTTCAGCAGGTATGACTGCCTCTTTTTTCATATACTAGTAAGTAAGGCGTAGAGCCAGTCGATGTTCTGAAAGTCGTGCGGTATCCCAATAAATCATATGGTAACATCTCATGCAAACATCGATGTTTGTCAATCATTTTCCTTAAAATCCTTTTGATATTCTTATTGGCGGCCTCTACAGCTCCGTTCATTTGGGGACGATAAGTAGTTGAATTTTGATGAGTAATCTTATATTGCTCACATATCTCTCGCATCAAGTGACTGCTGAGATTTGCACCATTATCAGTAATGATGGATTCTGGCACACGAAATCTACATATGAGATTGTAGCGAAGAAAATCATCTACCACTTTCTTGGTTACCAACTTGTAAGAAGCTTCTTTCACCCACTTAGTGAAATAATCAATGGCGACCAAAATGAATCTGTGTCCATTAGAAATGGATGGCTCTATCATACCGATGACATCCATTCTCCAAGCTACGAATGTACAAGGTGAACTCATAGAATTAAGTTTGTGAGGTGGCACTCTGATCAAATCACCGTGCACTTGACATTTATGGCACTTTTGCACAAATTTGCAAAAATCATTCTCCATAGTCATCCAGAAATACCCGGCTCGTAGGGTCTTTCTTGCCAAAGTGAGACCCTTCATATGCGTACCACAAACTCTAGCATGTATTTGTTCAATAAGCTTCACAGCTTCAACAACATCACTACACCTTAGAAGACCCAAATCTGGAGTCCTCTTATAAAGTACTTATCCACTTAGAAAGAAATTGAGAGCCACATGGCGTATCGACTTATTTTGGTTGGCCGTAGCATTTTCAGGATAAGTTCTAGAATTGAAATACTTCTTTATATCAAAATACCAAGGCAAAGGTTTCAACATCAGAACAATGGAGTGGATGTCCTTTCAACTCTATAACCAGAGGATCAATATAATTTGTGTCCGGATGTTTAATCATCAAAGAGATGGTGGTAATAGCATCGGACAATTCATTCTATATTTTAGGAGTATGTCTGAACTTGATCTTATGCAATCTTTTGCACAGCTACTGCACGTATTGTACGTAAGGTATAATCTAGGTTCTTCACATACCATTCTCCTTGGACTTGATGAATCAAAAGATCTTAGTCTCTAATAACTAACAACTCATAGACATTCATGTCGATGGCCATTTTCTAACTAAGAACACAAGCTTCGTATTCGGCCATGTTGTTCTTGCAATTAAATCGAAGCTTAGTCGCCATGGGATAGTGCTGACCGGATTCTGACACTAAGACTGCTTCAATACCTTTACCTTGATGATTCGCCGCTCCATCAAAGAATTATCTCCAACGTTGATACTCTTCAGAAATATCCTCACCCACAAATGACACTTCTTCATCATGAAAATAAGTCTTAAGCGGTTCATACTCTTCATCAACAAGATTTTCTAGAAGATATACTTCAGTGGATCCATTCTGGAAATGAGATATGTAGTATAATAAGACAAATAATGTCTCAACTTCTGGGCAAGCCACGTCAAAGCACAACACGTTCTCTCCAACAAAGTGTAACGAGACTCGTATGGAGAAAACTTCTTGGTTATATAATAGATAGCCCTTTCCATTTTTCCTGTCTCATCGTGCTGACCAAGTACGCATCCGAATGCTCTATCTAGGATAGACAAGTACAGCAAAAAAGGATTCCCTTCTCGCGGAGGAACAAATACCAGTGGATATGACAAATAGTTCTTGATAGCATCAAAAGTAGTCTTATACTCTTTAGTTCACTTTTTCGGGGCGTCTTTCTTCAGCAGCTTGAAAATAGGCTCGCACACCACAATTGATTTGGCTATAAATCGACTGATATAGTTTAACCTTCCTAAGAAACTCATTACCTCTTTTCTCGTCTTTGGCAGAGGTAGCTCTTGAATTGCTTTAATTTTTGAAGGACCGAGCTCAATACCCCTCCTGCTGACTATAAATCCTAACAACTTCCCGACTGGAACTCCAAAATATCATTTGGCGGGATTCAACTTCAAGTCTTAACGAGACAGATGATCAAAGAATTTCTTTAGATGTGTCAAGTGGTCCGTACTCTTGCGGGACTTGATTATGACATCATCCACGTACACTTCAATCTTCTTATGGCTCATGTCGTGAAAAATGGTCGTCATACCTCTCATGTAGGGGTAAAACACATTCTTGAGGCCAAACGACGTCACCCTGTAGTGATATACACCCCACGGTGTAATGAAAGTAGTCTTTTCAGCGTCTTCCTCATCCATCAAAATATGGTGTAGCCTGCGTAACAGTCCACAAATGACTTCATCTCATGCCTAGCACAGTTGTCAATTAAAATATAAATATTCGTCAACGGAAAATTATCCTTCAGGCTAGCTTTGTTGAGATCTCTATAGTCAACACAAATCCTGATTTTCCCGTCATTCTTGGCGCCCATAAAAACATTGGCCAGCCAAGTTTGATATTTTGTCACTTTCACCAATCAGGACTCTATTTTCTTGGTGATCTCTTCCTTAAACTTGAACCTCAGTTTAGGCTTGAATTTTTGAGTTTTTTGCTTCACCGGATCGAACCCCAGGTTAATCGGCAGCTTGTGAGATATGACATCGGTACTCAACCCTTACATGTCACCGACTTCCCAAATGAACAGATCAATATATTCAGCAAGCAAATAAATTAGCCTTCTTTCTGAGCTTCATTTAGGTGGATACTGATCTTAACCTCTTTAACACATTCTGAATCTCCCAAATTCACCGTTTCGTTTCCTCTAGATTTGATTTATGCTGATTCTCGATCTGCCGAAAATCCTCGGCAACATAATCTGGTTACTCACTTTTTTCGTCAAAATCATCAACCTTGTCGTCACCTGTCTCATTTTGTTCATTTAGCACGTGACATGACATGACATTGGAGGTCCGTAACTTATGTCACTGTAATCATAAAAAAAATTAGGAAAGTAAGGTATAACAAACAACTAAATAAATAAAGTTAAAAACAAAGAGGATTCAATTTAAAAACAATGCAACCTTAGGCCATGGCATGGGCCATGTTGCCTTTTTTGAACATCATAATGAAAATTCAAAAATTACAACAGTTAAGAAAATGCAAAAATAGTGGGTCTCGGGCCTCTCTGGACTACCACCGATTTTAATGTGCATGAAATGACGCCTTTCTACCGAAGAGTTAAGGGTATCAGGATCGACATGGAGGTCCAGTTCCATAACACCTCCCCTGGTTCAGCATCGCGAATACCAGGTAGCTCGACCTTCTCCTTAACAACAACATTGATTTCCTCAATGAGGTCACAGATTCCTTCCCTAAGGTCTTCATGTTAGGCACACTTCCAGATTGAAAAGGATTGTTACAGATGTCGGATCGATTTAGCCAATGTTTGATCATTTTTCTTCTTCATCTTCATGTCATCATCTGTGGGTACGTACGTGTCATCAAGATCTTTCATTGAGGCCTGTCTGTGGAATTGAGAGCTCATCAATTTTATTTATATCATTATTTATATCAATTTTCAATGAATTACTTTAGAAATTTTGAGTAAAATCAATCTTTGTTTTTAGTGAAAGAATCACTTCATTTTCAAGTATGGTGATGGTAGCAACCGTTTAATCTTGATTCAACATTTTAAAGAATGTGACGTATCAATCTAAATCAAATACTCATTCTTTTAATAAAATAAATTGTATATTTAAATTGTAACATTTTATAAATTTAAAATGTGTTTTGTCAACAAAAGAATTGCATATTAATGTATTTTAATTTAACTACTTAAATACATTATGCGTGTTTTTTTAATAAACCAAGAAGTGTTGTAATAAAATTGAAAAATCTCACCTATTATGTTATTTAGTGTATTTAATTTACTCGGCATTAATTTTTTTTAGAACAATTGATATTGTTTTGTTTGTTTTTAAAAATATATATATTTACTTTAACAAAAGATGAACATGCTATTTTATTATTATATTTTTCAGTTAAAGAAATAAAAGCATGGCTTTAATGTGAAACAAAAACATGTTTTACAAAATAAAAATATTTAAATAATTAAACACCCAACTCACAATAATAGAATATAAAATTTTTACTTTATTAAGTAATTGAATTATAAGTTAATTTTTGCTATAAATAAAAACTTAATGAATAAAAGACAAAGTAAATAAACGATATGATATAAGCGTTTGACAGTCAAATAGACACATTTACTCTCTTTTCCTTACTGTAATGTTGCAAGAAACAATTAATCAAACAAATCAAAATTCTATTTCATCAAGCATGTAGATAACCATATGAAAATAAGAGCTTACACAATTTCTTAAAATGAATTCAACTTAAATTCTTCCTTCTCTTTTCTAATGTAAAAAACATACTAGAAATTATTACCATAAATTTATGCTAATAAAATAAAGATTGCAATCATAGTTAATATTCATTCTTAGTAATGACGCCGACAAGAATCACAATGAAAACAATTGGTGCTTAACTGGCCTCAAAATGTACTTAACTGGCATAACTCGAGCCTTTAAAGGATGAAAATCAATTGGTACATTTCCACTACCATGTGGGTAAATGAAGCGAGACCGAAGTACAGGCTGACGAAACAATGACTTACTATTCATTCGATGAAAACTCCTAAAACGCCCACAATTAGCACAAACAGTTTCTTCTATAGTTCCATCATCACTCTTCTACACAAATTCACGACATCCATCAACCAAATAGTCACCAAACTTAGTAGCATGATTCTTAGGCATATACCATACTTTATCTTCATATCACCATATGAATTTTAGCTTGTGTTGCTTGTCATTTGCTTCTTTTTTTTGCTAAAGCTTTAAGGGTGAAGTTTTAGTTTTTGCCTTTTTGGTTTGAGTTTAAATGGTATTTAATATTGTGAATAATAGTTTAATTTTTAACCCGTAATTAATTTTCTATTGACATAATTTGTGATGAGATTATCTGTAATAAAGTAAATTTACGTAAGCGATGCTACATTAAAAACACCATTTATACAATGTTTTAATGTTGCATGACTTATGTAAATCTACTTTATTACAGATAATCTCACCATAAATTATGTCAATAGAAAATTAATTGTGTGTTGAACATTAAACAATTATTCACATCATTAAAGACAGTTTAAACTCAAACCAAAAGGCAAAAACTAAAACTTCACCCTTAAAGCTTTAGCCAAAAAAATAAATAGCAAATGACAAGCAACACAAGCTACAATCAAAATGGGGATATGACGATAAAATATGGTATAAGCCCAAAAATCATGCTACTAAATTTGGTGACTATTCGGTTGATGGATGTCATGAATTTATATAGAAGGGTGATGATGGAACTAAAGAAGAAACTATTTGTGCTAGTTGTGGGTGTTTTAGGAGTTTTTATCGAATGAATAGTTAGTCATTGTTTCTTCCTATCATTTTATATATATATATATATATATATATATGATAGGAAGAGAGAGAGAGAGTGAGAGAGAGAGAGAGATAGATTGATTGATAGATAGATAGATAGATAGATAGATAGATAGATAGATAGATAGATAAGAATTCCCTCCTTTGGTTC